GTCCTCTTTTGGAAGGCCAAACAAAGTAGTTTCGCTTTCATAACGAAACACACAGCGTCTCCACAACATGGTGGCAGCGGCAGCAACAATACTACAGCGAGAATCAAAGTTACACCTTATTTCTTTGCGTGAACATTTGGGCAGTGTTATGCAAATCTTCCCACATCTTGACGTAGACATGTGGGAGCGTGTTAGAATGAGCCGTTTTAGGTAGGCGTGGTTGACTCTTAACTTTTATAAAGAATATCTCTTTGGATTTGAGACTTTAGTCTTTGCAACTTTACAGATCTTTTTTATGCACCAAGAGCTTGTAACACTCCAAAGAGAAAGGAAAAATTGAAATCGCATTATATTACCCCTTTAATATGTAGTGTGTTTGAATGTTCGATTGTGGTTCTTTGCTCTTACCATCTTGGCTGGGTCTCAGTGTAATGTGGCATGGTCCCTGGACTTGCCCCAGAGCCCACAGGGCCTCTTCCATAGTGGTGTCTTCTAGAACCATTCGTACAGCTCTCTGCTCCCGCTCATATTTCAGCTACAAATACACAATTTTGGTTTTGATTAGTTCCCACACCATTTAACTGCTGCTGGAATTCCTGAATGTCCCTCTAGGGATAAAAATTATTTCTGTTATCTTCAGTGTTGGGGTGAACGCATTACAAGTAATGCGAGTTATGTAATCAGATTACTTTTTCAAGTAACTAGTAAAGTAACGCATTACTTTTTTAATTTACAAGAAAATATCTGAGTTACTTTTTCAAAAAAGTAATGCCAGTTACTTTGTTTTCCCATTTATTGGCTGACAAGTCTCCTTTCCCCATATTGGGAGAAATCGGAAGTGCAAAGGAGTTGTGTGCACTGTGTGAACATGATGTTACCATAGTTCTAGATTAAATGTGAATGTACATTAATTTATCCCACTCTCAAAAAACAAATTTAGTATTCATCAAAATGAATTAAAATAGTGAAATGCAAACTCAGAATATGACGCAAACCTGCAATAATTAAATATGTTAAATAACACAAATGTATCTAATCGCATTTTATTAACCAATGTCTTTGCTGCTGACCTTTGATGATCCAGTTCAATCATACTAATAAGCAAAACTGACTTTAGATAAACTATCAATTGTGCTTCATTGTTTTTTTATTGCTGAAGAGTGTTTCTTCTCCTGCGTTCTACTATAGAGACGTGAATTTACTTTTCCTTCAGCCTGAGGTTTATTCATTACACTTTTTGGTGTGAAAGGGCTTTTACATTTGCTATAAATAGAACTTCTTATATTAAAAACAATCAAGCCCTGCTCATATTTAAAAAGTAACACGAAAGTAACGCAAAAGTAATGTAACACATTACTTTCCATAAAAAGTAACTAATGTAATTAGTTACTTTTTTAGGGAGTAACGCAATATTGTAATGCATTATTTTTTAAAAGTAACTTTCCCCAACACTGGTTATCTTTCTTTATTTTAAGACAAAAAATTGAAATTTTCATTTTCTGTCTTATCTGTGAAATAATCAGGAGGAATTTAATTCTCTTCGTATCTAATTAATTCTCTTACCACTTTGTTTTTCAGAGGAATTTCTTTACTATTCAAGTTAGACTGGTTTTTGGTTATGGATGGTAAAGGGCATTTTAGCTCTTAAGACTAACTAATGGTGGTGGGCCCACAGCCATTACATATTTTATTGCCTTTTTACCCTATCAAATATTATAGTAATCACCCTAAATTAGATATCATTTGAAAGCTTTAAAACGCAAAATGAATCCTGTGAAAACCATTTTGAAATCGGATATTGCCTTCAATCAAAACTTTTTATAATCTTGACAAAATACCTATCGTTGGAAAGGTCTGCGTCTCAAGATTCCCTATTTGGTGGTTATTTTGTGATAGAAGTAATATTGACAGACAAATTTAGACATTTGTGACAGAAAAAATGCGTTAAAAAAATTTCAATGGAGTTTGGGTGTCACCAGGTGGCTGTTTGTGGCATATTCACTGTATTCACTGTACAATTTTTTTTATTTTATATAAAATAAATATTTTTTTCATAACAGGTTTTACTCTAAAATTGCTATAAAATTAAAGCCTAATGTCTAAATAAGTTATGTTCCAAATTTGAAGTTGCGTACTAAATAAAATCTCACTGGAACCTCAATTTTTTTATATCAACTTCAAATTTGGAACATAACTTATTTAGACATAAGGCTTTCATTTTATAGCAATTTTAGAGTAAAACCTGTTATGAAAAAAATATTTATTTTATATCAAATAAAAAAAATTGTACAGTGAATTTTCTTTACAGTAAATTTAAACTTCTATAACTTTTTGATACTTTCATATACTACAATAATCTGCTGATTGTCTTCTATAAAAACCTTACGTCTGTATGCCAAAGCGTTCATTAATTATAACAATTTAAGTTCGGATAATGCACTTTCACATCTATGTTCAAAAATGGAGGGGTGACAGTTAAGGGGTTAAATGAAAGCAAGTTTTCAAAATTCTGAAATCCCCAAATCTTTCCTAACAAAAATTCTAGAGTTCAGTTCAGAATCCAGAAATTCTAACCTGAAGTATCTGAGATCCAGGGCTGATGCCAGTGTTATGAGCAGATGATCCTTCGGTCACATCATGCACAAACACACCGGTTTTATTGCCCCCGATGACCTGTATTTCGTTCAATATCATTTCTCCCTGGAAAAACACAGCGAGTACGCGACCAGTGATACGCAGGGCCTGAGGTCTGGAGCGCATTAGGAAGGGTGGAGCTGATGCTCTTGAGACACTAGATTTATACAAAATAACATGTTTAGCAATATGACCATTTTAAATAAATAAATAAACGTGATTATTGTGTTTTACTTTCAGTTTTTATTTTACCTGTCATTAGGGCTCCTTCTGCTAGTAGAACAGGGAAGTGACGCTGGTGATTTTGACTCATCAAAACTATCTCCTATCAGAATAGAGATCAAAAAGGGGTGAATATGCCATTGTGATTCATTCTAATTGCCATGGATATACAGTAGCTTTCAACATTTACGGCACACTGAAAATTTTTAAGGACTGAAAACAAAATAATGTGCAATGCATAATGTATGGAAATGCATTTGTGTGGATGACAGAATAGCACAATAAATGTATAATTTGTTAACTTTACTAATAAAAAGAATGCTAAATGAGATTAAATAAGAGCATTATCTGTGGATAAAATCTTCCGAATGATGTGTGGGGTTTTGGGAACTAGGCAACAATGATACATTGTAAACACAACCGGAAATATGTTGTTACAGTTTATCATAAAGAAAACATTTTAATATATTTAATAGTAAATTTCTTGTTTGTTGATGAAGGGGTACTTGAGCTGTACATACTTTGGGGTACATAAGTAAAAAAAGCTTGAGAAACACTTTTCCATCAGAGGTGCTGTTAATCACATGAACTACTGTATGAACATGTTCCTCTAATATTCGACAAGCAGAAATTGTTACAATATTATTTTATGAATAATATTGTACCTAAAACTTCTATTAATGTGTTTCCTGAAAATTGTGCTCCAGTTATCTTTCTTCAAAAATACATTTGTTTGACATTTTTTAACGTGGCTCAAGTGTCCAAATATTTCTTAGGGCACTTCATGTAACTGAATGCACAAACATTTGTGATAAAATTAAATTTCAGCTTATTTAGATAACCACAATGAAATGTAGGAAGAAGTAACAGTACCTTTAGAAATGAAAACATAATCATGGTCAGAGTTGAGAGAATCCTGACTGCTGAAAATGGAACAAAGAGGTTTTTTTTTAATTATTTCAAACTCAAGTCCTCTAAAGAATTCCATTTGCTAACACATTTGCAAACTTCCTTTCTCTGAATTCTAAAGTTATTTTTAAATAGGCCTACTACATGACATCTTTATCTCCACCACATGGTGAATGTACATGTGGAAACACTGACCTGTTGGTTTATGAGTTAGTTTTATGATAGTGAGTCATGGGCACATACAATATACGGTACATACAACATACATATTATTTTCCTAATTAATGCTGTACAGTTGCTTTGACACAATCTGTATTGTTAAAAGCGCTATATAAATAAAGGTGACTTGACTTGACTTGACAATGCAACTAGGAATGCAATTAGTATCATAGAGACAAGGAAACAGGAAACACTAATGAATGATCTAATTATACTGTGGAAGACAAAAAAATAAAGATTTTACGGTAACACTTTCTATGAAGCCCGTTTTTATAATACATTATTATAAGAGTATTCTTAAGGCATTATAATGAATGCATAATGTATTATTAAAAAACCTTATAATATGTTGTATCATCTCATGAGTAATCATAACAATGCATTATAATATTTTATTTTAATACATTATTATATTTACTTATTTGTGGTTATATCTTTTAAGAGTATGATGATTTATAATACAAATGAGCACAATGCATCCACTTAACTTACAATGGATTATATTTCCCATAGTTATAATGAATTATAAGTCTCATATCTTGCCATTGTTAACTTGTTACTTAACATAAAGCAGACAAAGACCACTTATGAATAATAACAACAATGACAACAATAATAAAAATAATATTTTTCTTAAACAGCCATAAGATCATATATCTGATCAGATGAATCTGTAATATGGCACATTTGATTCTATGATATTATATTTCATAGATAATTCATATTTGATTTTATTGTAATATCAGTAAGATAATAAGATTTTGTACAGATCTAAAATAAATAATGTCAAGATATGAGACTTATAATCCATTATAAATTAAGTGGATTTAACATGGTGTTTATTGCGTTATAAATAATCATACTCATAAAAGTTATAACCGCAAATAAGTTTTAGAATGTATTATAATTGTTGTTATAATTATTTGAGATAATGAGATGAAACAACATATTACAAGTTTTTTTATAATGCATTATGCATTCATTATAATGCCTTAAGAATACCCTTATAATGTGTTCGAAAAATGGGCTTCATAGAAAGTATTACCGATTTTACAAAAGAAAATGTGCTCTCAGGGCTATTTCCCATCAAAAACAGGTTATAAGCATTGCCTGTTTATTTTAGTCCATATTTACAGGTATTGCCTGTATAAATCACCCTACAACACCCACAGTCTGAAAAAATCTGGGCTTGACACAAGTTCCACATGCAGTGACATGCAAACAGGATATTTTATTCAGCAAATCCGACTGAATCCAAACGATTTAATCATTTGGATTTTATAGCAATGGTTTTGGATTTGGATTTTGGTCTGTGTGTATTACAATTCAGATGTAAATGTGGTCCTAAATTAGATTATACATTTATCAAGTTACATTATTACATTATTAAAATTATGTAATAATTATCAATGGGCAACTACTAACTAACTAACCATTTTAAAATGTCAATTAAAAGCAGTAACTCAAGAATGTAGCCAAACTGCTATTTTCACATACTGCAGGCTTTACAATGACATTACAGTTCCCTGCAACAGAGCAGATGAGCAGCTCACGTGTAAATGTCTTCCATGTCACTTCTGGAGGGAAAGTCTCGTCGGCGGAGGGATTCAGAACTGGGGGGCTCCACTTGATTGGAACTGATACTGCAGATTGCTACATCATTGAACTGTAAAAGTTTGATACACACCCAAAAAATAAATAAATAAGTAATAAAAAATAATAAAATAAAAATAAAAAATCTAGCAAAATTCTATATTTACTACATACAGACATTAGACAGAACAAGGAAGGAGGAGAAACCTTCAGAGAATGGAAGAAATGCAGAAAGCATTTTCACATTATCAAGTTATTGTTACCAACACTGCATGTACAGTTGTCTCATTTATTGACCCAGATGCACTTTAAGCATAAAGACTCATTCACACTATGAATGATAACTATAATGATAACCATATTAGCATCCACACCAATGGACAATAAAGTTCTGTTTCTACTAAGCACTATGAAAGATGGATTTTGATTGGTTGTTCATCAGCTGGAGAGAAAAATTCATTTGATCAAGTGTTGCCTTTTCTATTAAATTCCATGAGGCTAAAGAGTAATTCTCACTAGGATAAGATTAGCAGAACATTTACAGTAAAAATGTACCTCACAGGCGTCAAACGAGTTGAAACTCTCAGGAAGAATTGCATTCGAGCGGCACAGCTGTCTTCTTGAGGGCGGGCTGGAAGGAGGGAACTCACTGCACAAACCTCTGCTGATGTCGCAGCTGAACTTCCTGTCCTACTTATTCAAAGAAATGATATTAAAGGGGTCATGAACTGCCTCTTTTTTTATTATTTTGTACTGTTATCTGAGGTCCACTTATAATGTTATCAAGATTTTTACATCACAAAACATCATAATTTAGAATAGGCTATTTTTCTGTCCTGTTTTGACCCCCCTCATCGGAAAGCTGTTTGAATAGGTGTGGTGGATTGTAGACTCGTTAGTAAACACCCACTCCTGTGATTGGCTAACAGTTGTGTATGTTTGACAGCCTACATCCTTCATTAGATGGACACTGCAGTGATTTAGGTTAAAAACGCATAAATACTCATTACATATCAAACAATCTGTAATAACAGAGCAATAGTGACCACATAATAAAAACAGTTACTCACATTTGTGTGGTGCGACATTACTGTTGGATCCAATATAGTCAGCATAGCATCGTCTTTTAGTTTCAATCTTTCTGAAAATCCTGCATCGAATTGTGCTGATTTGAAACAAATCTGCG